TATCTGTTGAAATTGTCTGTTGTAAGTTTCATGTTCCTTTGTCTGTGACAGGAGAAACGTGTGCTTTTCTGAAAGTAGTAAAAGGATGCGTCCCTTTTTCGGAATGCAGCGGGAAAAGGGGAGGTGTCCTGAGGTCATGCCCATGTCACGAGTGTCGATCTGCCATTCTTCTCGCTCGGACATGAAGCTATAAAATTGTCTCTTTTGTTGACGGGATTATCAATTTATGCGTTAAACGGTCATGGGGTCCGGGCGAGTCTGTCGCTGGAACATTTCCAGATACCATGTTCTTTGTTCTGTTGTTTATTAGCTGGTTTATTTATGCTGAAGCCGGTCAACGTTACACTGCACATCTGGTCCCTGAAAGCCCGTAAAACAAAGATAGTTTGTATCCTAGTTTGAGTGAGGGTTTAGGCAGTTCAGATCCCCCTAAGGGATAAGGACCAGGCCTTGACCGGAAGCAGGTCCAGACAATTAGGTGCCCTGTTGATCATTGATCTTCTTTACGACTGTAGATAGCTGGGCAGGAGAGTCTTTAGTTTTTCCGGTAAAATGCGGAGATTCAATCGTTCATTTGTGCGATATTCGCAGAGGCCTTACAACAATTACAAGAGTCACATTTGTACCGAAATTGTCACATTCACTTCCATCATAAGTACCACACTGGAAACATGTTTTGCTTTTTGTAAAGAAGAGCAGGGACGAGTTGTTGTGTTTTTGTGGTAACCATCATTATGCCACTTGTGCTGTCAGCTGAACTTGACTTATTTTGAACCTGTGAGTTTCCTCAAAGCAGCTTTGCAGTGTGATCAGCGTCACCAAATGCAGGGTCCTTCAGGAGAGTTAGTCCAGCAGAGGAGAACACGACAGATACTCACAGCTTCAGTTTGACTCGATGACTTATGTCTGCATTAATACATTTCAAAACACTCTCCGTCCACACTAGCGTTGTGCAAAAGTTTCTCCTCTGCACCGAAACATCAGAAAACGTTAAATTCGCTTTGCTGCGATACAGATGAAACAGGCACGATACATTTTCATGCAGTTCTTCTGGCAGGACCATTTTGTTTAGGAAAATATCTCCTCGTTCACTGACGATAGTATGTCTGATCTAAAACACGATAGCCCTCATGTTTCGCTGCAAACAGCAATCGCGAGTACATTTCCGGTCATCTTTGCAGGACTGTGATGCGAAGAGTGTACCAAGTAACACATCTGTAGCAACAGTGTGAAAGTGAATAGCACACGACAGGCACAATACCGGGATAAACATGGATATAATATGTGTCACATGCCCACACATGCGTCGTCATTTTCAAAAGCCTCTGTTTTCACAGGCCACACTGCAATGTGACAACAGCCTTTTCAAATGTACCCACTTTAGAGAGCGTTTTCAAAAAGCTTGGTTTTTCTTGACAAAAACGGCGTCTCAGTGTGGACGGAAGGCCGAAACGGAGAGGTATTAGTGAGGACCAGGCCTGAGCAAGACCGAGACGGCTGGCAGGGAGAGCAGTCAAAGCTTTCTGGCAGTGCTTTAATGACAGCAGTGTGATTGGCAGGATCTGACGGCGCTGGCGAAGGAGCTGCGTGCGGTGGAGGACGTGCGGCCGCAGCACAAAGCCACGGACTACTCGTCCTCCAGCGAGGACTCGGGCACCACTGATGACGAGGACGACGAGGAGGTGGATCAGGAGGCGGGAGAGGAGTCGACGTCTGGCCCCGAGGACTCCCGCGCCGGGTGAGCCTCGCTGACCATCACACTGCACACTGGGGCTGTCAAATTTACATTACACCTTCAATTTGAAAGAAAAATCCACATTCGAATGCAAACACGTTAGGTGTGCGACAGAGAGCTTTATCAGTGGCACACCAGATGCGATGACGATGTAGCTGTCATTGCATGGTAATGCTTTTTTTAGCCTGTCAAGTTCAACCAGTGTTGCCAACTTAGCCATTTTGTTGCTAAATTTAACCACTTTTCAGACTACCCTAGCACCTAGCAACAAATGTAGCAATTTCTAACATTTATTTGGCAACTTTTGATAAGGGAATCAGACAATAAAAAGGCACACATGTTCCATCCAAATTACACAAAAAGAGGAAACCAAAGATGCCTCGCAGTACTGTACACACATCATGTGAATTGAGTTAGCTGCGATTTGCAATTGTTCAATTTAATAATAATTGAATAATTGTTCATTTATGATGAACTTTGTTAGTAGCTTGTACCTGTGATTGTTGGTCAGTTAGTACACTGTAAGAAAAATGGAAAAGATACTAGTAATTTTCCATTATCACCGTGTAACCTGAAAACACAATGCGTAATTTAATATGCAAGGAAAAGCCAATACGGAAAATTATTTCATATTGACTTAGTAGATTGTGCACTATATTTATAGACTTTTCTTAGTGTAGCATACTAACTAACTACTAATACACTGCTTAAAGCATAATTGTTGAGAATGTGTAGTATTACTAGTCTACTAGCTATTTAAAAAAAAATTATTGTGATTATTAAAAATGCGTAAGTGTTCAGTAATTCAATGCATTTAAAAATATAGTTATTTATATTTTAATATTATATTATGTTTATTATTTTACAAACAGATCTAAATTAACATAGAAAATATATTTTTTGCTGAGATTTGATCATCGCTCAGTGACATCACAACGTCATTTAGCAACTTTGGTAACACTTTACTTGAAGGGGTGTGCATAAGACTGACATGACACCTACATAATTATGCATTAAACATGCATAAAAAACCTTCACATTCATGATATGTGTCATGTCATAATTATGTAGGTGTCATGTCAGTCTTATGCACACCCCTTCAAGTAAAGTGTAACCGCAACTTTTAGCAACAAATCGACGTTCCTTTAGCAACTCTCTCTGAAAAATAGTTGGCAACACTGTGTTGAACCCACTCTCGCACAAGAGAGATGCATGTTTAGAAAGCCATGTAAAATTAATGTAAGTTCAAAAATCCCCCTCCCACTGCATCTCATGTTTTTCTATTAAAAAAGTGCTCTGTGTGATTGGCTTTTGTCCCTCTGTATTAAACTATGCATACATGATGCTGTTTTGTTTATAATTGCTTAAGCAACATAATTGATTATATTTTTTATGAACATTATGCACTTTTTTTTCACAGATAGTCCTGTTATTTTATTGCTTTGAACAAACGTGCATTAGTAATATTTTGCTCAATGCGCCCTCTTGTGGCCTCTTGAGAGAAGTCAAAAGCTTTTTCCCTCTAACTGAAATCAGGCCTTTCCTTTTAAATTTGAATATAATTGGAATATTGCTAATATTTAAATATTAGTGCCCTAGTGCCCAGCGATGTGCTGCAGATGTATGACATTCATCAGGCTACACATTCACATTCAAGATGTAGAGTAAGAAGCACAGGTGGAAAGACATTGTGTGCAGTAAACCTTTATGAAGCACACGAGTGTTCAGAGCAGGTTTGAAAGCGTGTGTAATGAGCTCAGATCATTCTTCTGTGATTGGCAGCTCGTCCAGACTCAGTAATGGAGAGACGGAAGCAGCTAAGACCATGGTTGTCCAAGACAACGACGCCTCCTCTACGCCATGCAAAGACAGCACGCTGATCATGAGACAGGTGACACACACACACTCACTCACACACACACACACAGACACACACTCACTTACTCACACACACACTCTCACACTCACACACACACTCACTCACTCACTTACTCACTCACACACACACACACAGACACACACTCACTTACTCACACACACACACACAGACACACACTCACTCAGACACACACTCACTTACTCACACACACACACACACGCTCACATACACACACTCACTCACACACACCACACACACACACGCACACACACACTCACTCACTCACTTACTCACTCACACACACACACTCATTCTCACACACACACACACTCTCTCTCTCACACACACACACACACACACACACACTCATTTACTCACTCACTCACTCACTCACTCACTCACTCACTCACTCACTCACTCAC